TCTAGAAAGCTGTTAGCAACAACATTATTAGATCAAGAATATGAAACAGTACACAATGACGTCATAAATAAAATAAGACATGCTAATGTAATTCACTTAGGCATCGATGGCTGGTCCAATATTCGTAACGAATCAATTTTAAATGTAATTTTATATGCCCCCAAGCCTTATTTTTGTAAATTTATAGAAACTACCGACAATCATCATACTGCTGAATATTTATGTGAGGAAGTTTCTAAAATCATAGATGAATTTGATGCATCAAAATGTTTCGCAATAGTAACAGATAACGCTAGTAATATGGTTAAACTTGGAAAGCTGTTATATGAAAAATATGACCATACTATTTGGACTGGATGCTTAGCACATACGCTTCACTTATTTATAGGAGATGTAGTGAAGGTTCCGAAAATTCGTAGCTTGTTTTTTAATATTGTGGAAATCATCAAAACTATTACTAGGTCACATAACTTTTCAGCTGAGTTTCGTAGAATAGCTAATGATAGATCTATTAACAGTAGTCTTCATTTGCCTGTTAAAACAAGATGGGGAAGTTATTTATTATGTCTACAAAGTTTTGTAAAATGTAAAGTTATATTGCAGAATATGATAATTAACGATAATTCACTACTAACAAAATATAGAAACCTAATATTTGAAGAAGATACTTGGGACGAAATACAAAGACTGGAATTTTTTTTAAAACCGATCGTCCAATGGATAATAACACTAGAAGGAGATTGTTACGGAGTACACTTAGTGCACCGAGCCTTTAAAGAAATACAAAAAGTGTTCAAACACGTACATTCAAGAATGCTTTTTGGAGATATGGTACATACCCTAGAACAAAAATTTGATAGTAGAAAACTAAATGCTCTTAAGCCAATTCATTTGGCAGCTGCCCTTCTGGATCCACAAAATCAAGGAGTACTATTATCTAATCAAGAGAATGTTGAAGGCTGTGAATTAATTATAAATATTGAAAAAGATGCAGAAGCTGCAGTTAATATATTTACGGAATTATCGCAATACAAAAGCCGAACACACTTGTGGGAAAAAAGTTTTATTTGGACTACGGCTGAAAATATTTCACCATTATCATGGTGGGCAACTTTATTTCCGCAAACGCTTTTGGGTAAGATTGCCATAAAATTTTTATCAGTTCCCGCTACTTCTGCAGCTGTAGAAAGATCCTTTTCAACATTTTCAAATATGCATACGAAGAAACGAAATCGTTTAAAGGCAAACACAGCAGGGAAGCTAACATTTATATCACACAATTGGAAGCTAATTAACAAACCCACCCAACAATATCACAGACCACTGTCAGATCATAATTTATCTTCAGTATCAAATTCTGCCTCGGAAGACGAATTTTCCGAAGTAGCAATAGATGAAACGGAAAACTCGGAGCTTATTTTTAATAAACCTGGCACTTCCAGGGCTAGATTAGATTTGGATTCCCATGATTCCAATATTATGAATTGTTCAAAAGAAGCATTTGATCTAAATAAGCCAGGCCCCTCCAATATTAGTGAAAGTGCAGCAAAAAAAAGAATCATAAGAAATATATTTATTTCCGATTCAGACTCTGATGACTAATTTTGCGTAGTCTCCGTCAAACAAACTGATTTCTACTATACTATACTGTATGGGTTATTATTATTAATATACTGTATGGATACTGATAACTGTAGAATTTATATATTTTTAGGTATCTGTAAAACACTACTATAAAAATTTGTATGTTTTATAATCATTTCATAATTGTATTGTGTAATCAAAAACTTTACTTTCTGTGATTAATACGCCAATCCAAAAGACTGATTTGTATTTTATTTAAACTAATTAAAATTGTTAATCTATAAGACAGGCTACTTATATACTCGTAAATACTTTATATAGGTACATTTAATCATAAGCCATGATTATTATTGTTATTCAAAAAAAAATTGGAATTTTGCTACCACATTAAACTGTGTGGTGATTCTTTTTTAAGTTTTGTTAGCATATCTGAAAGATGAAAATGATGTGCCGTTTAAAAAAGTGTAAAATTATATAAATGTAAGTTTTTTTTTAATTAAGATAAATAATAATGAACTTTGTTTTAATTTAAATAATTTCTTACTAAGAACCTTGGAACGTGCCCATTGATCCCGGGGGCAAAGGAACATTCCCAGGGAATATAGGGATATTCCCAGGGAATATGGGAATATTCCCAGAGATTATCAGGAAAGTTCTCAAAGCAACGACTTAATTGAATTATGCCTATGTATAAAGGTGTACTTGCTTTTGCACATAGTGCAAAAGTTATTAACAAAAATATATACAACTATTTAAGTTAATGTTCCCAGTCGTTCCCAACGTGCCCGGGAGCGTTCCTGGGAATTAGGGAACGTAGGAAACGATCCCGGGAACGGCGCATCACTACTTAGGAAAGGTATTTCAGTCATCACGCAAAAACTTGGTGAACTAATGTTGTAATGAGGAATGATTTTATTTTTTTTATTTATGTATGTATTAAAATAACTCAAAAACTACTGAGCCGATTTAAAAAAGTCTTTCACCAATAAATAGATACGTTTTCAGTAACATAGACTATGTTTTTTTTTATTTGACGTAGCCGAAGTCGCGGGCAATAGCTAGTATATGAGAAAACGATCGACGAAAGTTTCTTATAAGTTACTGATATAAGTTCCCTCATACTCTTCCAGCAATGGAGTTCCGAGATCTGGAGAACTTCGTCCTCATCATGTGGAGCGGAGATCTGGACGACGACCGGCTGCTGGTGCAGTTCCAGAAGAACGGGACCTGGATGAAGACGCTGCGGTGCAGAGGCGCTGTGACTCTTAACAAGTACTGGACGAGGGTTTATAGCAGCGACCCGAAAAGAGGATATCAGGTAATAATCAAAACTGATAGAAATAGAGTAACCTAAAGTTTTTTTTTATTATTAGCAATCGAACAAATAGCTACCTGAGTTCGCCAAAAAGACGAAGAGATCGCAATTGCAGAGGAGTTGCTTTAATTGACGGAGAAGACGCACATAAAGAGGATACTTTCCCTTCCTATGCTTCTCTACCGTTAAATCCACTTTCCTTTCGCATTCTTCCTTTAAAAGAAAAGGATAGAAAGAAAATGAGACTAGAATTAGATCTCTGGTACATAGTTTAGAAAGGATTGAGGATAACAATGATAAATAATTTAGATCTAGAACGAAAACCTAGTGCAGGGGTTGTAAACATTTATGCATCAAAGTGCTATTTTAAACAAATGTTTGATGTGGCATCAAATAATTTTGACTGCGATTATAACGTTAATTGGTGCACCTACATACTTCCTTTCATATTCATAGCGTTTTTATGATTATTGACTTGCCTAAAATTGTGTGCCATTGGTTCTCCACCCCTGACTTAGTGAATCGATCCTACATAATCAGATAAAGATAGGGTGATTCTAAGGGTTGTTATTAAAAGGATTTTATATTGTAGATATCAGTGTTTGAATTAAACGAAGAAGAGCAACGTTGGGACAAAGTGGAAGAACTCCATCACAAAGAGACGGATACTGCAGAAGCTATGCTGCAACTTAAGCGAGGGAAGAAGGATAGAATGTTACTCGGTAAGAATATTTCATGTTTTAAATTGTTTTAACCAAATAAATCATCAACTTACCTTTATCCTTAAAGGGTCGGCACAGTGCTGCTTCTATACTCTATCAGCCGTCTTATCCTCTTTCACACAATCAATACATACTTTCTTTTGAAAATAAGCATTTGAATAAATGTGCTTGTTCGATACTTACAAAGTTTTATTACTATGAATTTTTTGATTATAAATGTCATATTTGATTTTGGTTTTACTATAAAATATACTGTTAAAATATAATGCTGGTTTTCTGAAGTTTCCATTTACTTTATCATTACCTAGTGAAACAGTGTTAGGTCAACTTTGTTTTAAAGGAGTAAAACTTAAGTTAGGTAGTTGAGAAACGCAGTTAATTAACTTATCAAATCAAAAATACTAACGAATGGTTAAACGTAGCTGGGAAACCGTCCATTAGTAATCTTTAATTTAATGTTTTATGATAAAAAAATGAATGCTTAAAATTTCAGCCACGACGACGTATAGTTTCGTAGTTTGGGACTTTCATAATATTATCCCAAGAGGTAACCATGTTGATGAACGACAAAGACAAAGAAGTGAAGGGAATGACAAACAAGATGAAGAAGAAGTAAGATTGAAACAACTATATTATCCTATTGTTATAAGTTCACACTAAGAGCGGGCGCACGCCTTTGACAAAACTATCGCAGAACTGTTGTACGATTATCGAGTGTTTCAGCCAATTGAACTGTTTAGTTGCAGAACTAAAGAGGAGTGAAACCATATAAGCTCATAGGAATCAAACTGAACAGTCGTGCGAGAGTTTAGTCAAAGGAGTGTTCGCTCTAAAGCTATATAAACTCCTCTATGTATTAATTTGTAATTTCAGGAGGAAAAAGCAGATGTTCTTTCTGAAAAGAATCTACGTATAGAAGGAATAGTATTAAAACTACCCCATACTATTCGCAATATCTCTACCAAGATGACGCAATCAAATTCCTTCATGATTAGCAATAACAACACTTATGCTGTAGCTGGTGTAAGGTGAGTTAATTTTATTTTGATAGATTTTTTTAATAACTAATATCCCTAATTTTTACCGTCCCTCATTAAATTCTCCTTGTCCCAACTTATCAGCTCTTTTTAAACACCACAAAGCACTAGCTTTAGCCCGCGACTCCGTCCGTGTAGAATTAAAAAATAACAAAAGTATGTGTTCTTCTAGACTATGTTCTACATGTATGCCAAATTTCTACGAAATTCGTTCAGCAGTTTAGGCTACAAACTCTAAACATCCGTCTAGTCTTTTGCATTTATAATATTAGTAAGATTAATTACCTAAGTTTACTTCCCGTGCATTCGCGTGAAATTATAAAAACTTTATTTTCTTGTTTACATTTGTCAAATTCTCAATTGCTAATGCACAAATGACAACGAAGGGTAACAATTATCGTTACCATGGCAACCTTGCTTTCTTGATGGCTGCTTGTAGTTTATGGTCCCTTTCCCACATTAAGTTTTTTTTATTTATTTACCCCCTAAGTTTCATAGCGTAAAATATAGCGTGAGGCGTGTCGTAAGTGTAAGGCTTTTCATTAAAGTAAGAATTATTCAAAAATATGCTGTGATTGCTGACATCTTACGCCACAAAGAAGTGTGTGTTTGTTATATTATATGAGTATAGATTATTTAACCAACCTGCAGATGAAGTTACAGGCAACAGTTACATACAGTTGTTGTAATTTCTAGAAAGAACCTATATGTATGGAGTTTGGAGACAACGAAGCTGATCAAGATCCTGGACGCTCACTTCGGGAGGATCGTGCAGCTGGAGCCGCTGACTGTCGGCGCCTGGAACAACGTCATCACCTCCTCCATTGATAGAACTGTTAAGATTTGGAATATTGACAACATCTTCGAGCAGGTCCACAAGATTGACCGACAGGAGTTACCAATAGATGCTATCAGGTTGGTCTTTTAAACTTGACAAATGTTTACAAGAGTGATTGTATGTACCTAGCTGTTGCCCGCGACTATGTTCGCGAGGAATTAAAATAATGTATTGAAAGTGGTAACTTAGCTTTTTAATGGTGAAAGTATTTTTAAAATCGGCCCAGTAGTTTTTACGTGAATCTAATACATACAAAAATACAAATCTTACCTCTTCATAGTATTAGTTAAAAAAATGTTGTGTGACAATTCGAAAACTAAGCTATTCAAAGTTTAACCTACAGTATGTTTTTACATTTTGTATGTGATGATTATAACTACAGTTTCCTCTTTATAATCTCCCCCTACGCTATAGACGCTGCCCTGAGTGTGGGTTTCTGTAATTTTATGTATGGATACGGATAGTATATATGAATTTTCGGTGGCCACAATACAGGCATTGCCTAGTGTGGCCATCAACAATGAACTCGAATAACCAATATATAGTAACTTAAGATAACAACTATATTTAATTTTCTGTCATGTATAATTTTAAGTTATTGTCAAAAGTTATTTGTCTTTGTGTAATCTTTACTGTTAATAAAAAATATTTTCATTTTACCTTATCCTACTCCGGTAGTGTCGGCGCACTGGGTTTTCTCTATGTCCTCTGTCTCTCAAAAACATTCTGGAAATACCTGGCATTCGTCGTTTGTAAACCTTCATCGATACCAATATTTAGTTATAATAAAACCCTTACCATTATTGCGAGTAAAAGTACCAAAGATTCTCATCCTCTTCACTGCAAAAAACATTTCGTTTGAAGCACATTGAAGCTATTTGTTATTTCCATTCTTTCAGTCTAGCAAGAGACAAGCAGCTCGCAGTGACAGTGACCCGCAGCTGCTGGGGTCTTTGGGATACGAGCAGTGGTAGACTGTTGGCGCAGTTGGCTGATGCACCTCTTGGTGCCATCGTCACCCATGCGGTGATAACACCAGCTGGTGACAATGTGATCACAGCTGAATCTGGGAATGTGGTGATATGGGATATTGCTGAGAAACAGGTATTGGTAGAAAACTAAAGAGCTATCTTTCTTAAGTACTTCTATAATAAAAGTTGCTTTGTATTTGTAAAAATACGTACTAATATAGTTATTTGGTTTAGAAGCCTGATAGCAGCCATTTGTAACTTCATCTATACTAATGTAAAAAGATTAAAATTTGTTCGTTTGATTGTAATGAATAGGCTCAAAAACTACTGGGTCGATTTTAAAAAATCTTTCACCGTTAGAAAGGTAATTTATCTGTGAGTAACATAGGCTATATTTTTTTCATTTCATTATTATTTTTAAATTTTACGCGGACGTAGTCGCGGCCAAAAGCTAGTCTAATAAAAGAGAGAAAGATTTGTATTTTTCTATCCAGTGAAATAACTCAAAAACTACTGGACCGATTTCGAAAATTCTGTTACCATAAAAAAGCTAAGTATCAGTGAGTAACATAGGCTATATATTTAAATTTGACGCGGACGAAGTCGCGAGCAACAGCTATTTCAAACTGCATGCATAACTTATTTTGCTTAGAATTATTCTCCACGGTTTCTTTGAGATATAAATTCCCTCTTATGTTTTTTAGGTTATTTTTAAAGAAGAACAGAAAGGTGTAAAGCAAGTACTTCTTCTAGACGATGGAACTAAATTTATAACAATTTCAATGCAAGTATCCACAGAAAATACTGACAATTTAGCAATGGCGGTCATCATAGCCAGAACAATACCAGGTATCTTATATATCATATATTGCTTTAACGTCTACGCACTGTAGGGCTCGCCCCGTGTAGCACGACCACACAAGACAGCCGTGAAGTGGGGGCAATTCCGCGTACAGTCTGATGAGTGTAGCCGGAGGTCGAATTTTAGTCCCTTTCCACCCTTTTTTAAAATGGAATGATCGGAAGGAAAAGTTGATTTGACGGTGGAGGAGACGCATAGGAAGGGGAAATGTCCTCTTTATGTGTGTCTTCTCCTCCGTCAATTAAGGGTAGGCAACGCATCTGCAATGCGGATGTCTATGGGCAGCGGTCGCTTTCCATTTTTTTTTATAATATACTCGTAGGGTGGCAAACGAGCAAGCGGCCACCTGAATCCACCGAAATGCGCCACTGCATTGCAGATGCGTTGCCTACCCTTAATTGACGGAGGAGGAGACGCACATAAAGAGGACATTTCCCCTTCCTATGCGTCTCCTCCACCGGCAAATCAACTTTTCCTTCCCACTTAAGAAAAGGGTGGAAAGGGAAAATGACTAAAAATTAAGCCTGCGGCACCGCACTCACCAGACGAAACGCGGAATTGCTTCCACTTCACGCCAGTTTTCTGTGTGGTCGTGGTATTACTGGGGGCGAGCTGACCCATACATGCGAAGATGTTAAAGCGGGCTCTACCACTGTTAAAGAGAATTAGTAGGAGAATTTTTAGACCACCGACGCTACTTTAGATGGAGAAAGAATCTATACAACAGAGTATGAAGTGCGAAGTACAGGATACAAGGCGGCTGTGGTGTCGGCTGATGAACACCATGTTGTAGCTCCCGGCGCGGACAAGACCCGGGAGTGCCTGCATGTGTTCCATGCCAGGACAGGAACTAAGTTACATAGGTAATTTTTTAAACTGTTTTAATGTTGTGTTTGTAATGAAACGACATACAAGAGGAGAGATAGAAATTCAAGGGGAAATTTTAAAAAAATACTATTTTTAAATTTAATTTTTTATCTCTTCCCTTGATTATTTTCTCTCTCTTTTAAAACAGTTGACATATTATGCGCACATTCTTTTTGTGTTATTCCTCTCTTAATCTCTCTCTTTTAATCTCTCTCTCTCTCTCTCTCTCTCTCTCTCTCTCTCTTTTAATCTGTGTTGTAGTTTTGTATACATTTTATTTTTCATAACATGTTTATGTACGAATTTTTTCTTTCATTTTATATTTACTCATGTGTATGTGATAATTTATACCTATCCACTGCTACTACTGACGTGTGGGTGATCCCAAGGGTTCTCGCGGAAGATCAGCGTTGGTACTTCAATAGGAGTACCAGCATTTATGGCTGAGCGAGGACCCAATCCGGTCAGCATTGCAACGCTGATTTTAAATATTTCTTTTTTTTCTTTTCATTAGTTACGTTTCTCATTATTTTGTGTTTAATTTTTTTTTTCATAATTGTAGTGTTGACAAGGATTAAACATTGTTTTATTTTTATATTTTATTTACATATTGAAATACTACCGAGGTCTAGCGTGTTCCATTTTGAGAAAATGCTAACAATTTTCTAACAAAATAGTAATTTTTACTAATTTTTAAGTAAAAATTACTACTCTCACCATGTAATGAAACGCCATATTACCTAAGACTGTTATTTTATTATACCCTCTAAATTTACCTTATTATATAATATAGTATAGTAATACAAGGAAAGATTTGTATTTTTGTATGTATTTGATTCACGCAAAAAATACTGGACCGATTTTAAAAATTCTTTCACCGTTAGAAAGGTAATTTATCTATGAGTAACATAGGCTATATGTTATTATTACTAATGTTTAGGAACTATTAATAAACAGCGTGTTTCTGGTATAATATATACAGATTATAAATCAACTAATTTAATACAGATACCAGTATCGTATGTTTTAGCACTACAACTTTTTTAGCATTTTAGGTCTAAGATTGTCTAAGACTAGCTATTACTCCTGACTTTGGCTACGTGAAATTGAAAAATAGTTAAAAAATAGCAAATTATTGTCTATGTTTTTTAGTGATGACAGCTTAATAGTAAAAGAATTTTTAAAATCGACCAAGTTTTTGAGTTTTTTCAATACATACAAAAATACAAATCTTTCCTCTTTATGATATTAATATTGACTATGTTATCTATTATAATAGTTTTTTTTTGTTTCAATTATTTTTTATTTACAAATATTATGTAAACTGTGTAAAGAGAAAATAAAACTATATTCTTATCTTTATGTATATTTCAGAATTATAGCTCTTCTTTCTATTCAATGCTCTGGACGGTCGCCTTAAAGTCACCTCTGCTTTTTAAAGCACTAAAATCCAGTATTAATAAATCTATTTGTTACTATTTTTCTAGGATTTCAGTCAAGAACAGCGGAATAAAGGACATGCAGTCGATAGTGGCGTTGCCCCACAAGCCGCACTGGGTGGGGGTCGTCGGCAACGACAAGGCTGGGATACTTGATATCAAAACTAAAAGACATGTCAGGTTAATAAACATGTTATTACTAGCTTTTGCCCGCGATTCCGTCCGCGTAGAATTAAAAACAAAAGCAAGTATGTGGTCTACCAGACTATCCTCTATGATAATCATCGAGATCCGTTCAGTAATTTAGGCGGCAATCTCTAAGAAACATCCATCTTACTCACATTTCTAATATCATATGTATGATATAGTATGATTGTAAGCTTCTTTAGAATATTTTTGGTATTTCAATATTTTACAAATAATCCACTCTCCGGTGTAAAAACACCACACATAAGTGGAAGTAATTCTGCATTTAATTTAGAGGGTTGCCAAATGCCTCATTCACTTCCTTTTCCCACCCATTTCTTATAAGTGATGTGGGAAAGGGAGAGGACTAGAAAGGGAAAAGACAATATTTTTGTCTATCTTATTGGAATTATTAGAATAATGTTATAAAAGGCATCAATAAATTTCAATTTATAGTTGTCTACGTTCACTTTTTGCGGATGTCAAATCGCTTATTTGACAACCTATTTTATACCAGATGTTGCTCGTGACTTCGCCCACGTGAGTTAAAAAAATAAAATCTATGTTACTCACAGATAAATTACCTTTCTAATGGTGAAAGAATTTTTAAAATCGGCCCAGTAGTTTTTGCATGAATCAAATACATACAAAAATACAAATCTTTCCTCTTTATAATACAGATAAAAGGCAAACATTGTTGGTTTTTTTTAATTACATTTATTTCTAGATTCGTACCACGTTGGAACGGCGCATGTACCAAAGATGGTAAGATAGGGTTGTGCGCGCCGTCCCGCGGCGGACTCGATCTGATCGAACTGAAGCGAGGCACATCACTACAGCAGTTAATCTCGAGGGCGGCTGAAGGAGTATTTTCCATTATTACAATGTTCAGTTCCACTGATCAGTATGTTTTCTACTACCATAGTGGGAGGAAAACTTTGCGAGTTTTCAGGTATGTACTAGCGTGTCTAAGGTCCTCTTAAGATGTAGTTCTATTTATGAGATACTAGCTTTAGTCCGTGACTGTCAGTGCGGAATTAAAAAAAAAATAGTGGCCTATATGTTCTTCCAGTTTCTCTACATCTATACCAAATTCCATCAAGATCCATTCAGCAGTTTAGGCTACAAACTCTAACATCCATCTAAACTTTCGTATTTATAATATTAGTAAGATATATTAGGGTGATAGTGTTAAGATTGAATGTGGATGACTGCAAAGGTAGAAGACAGAATAAAGGATGTATGGATTGTATGAAAGAGGACATACTTAAGGGAATAGAATCAGATATGTTGACACAACTGTTGTGCGATTGTCGATTGTTTCGCAGTCAACTGTTTAGTTGCACAACTAAAAATCGAACAGTGTACTCCACAAGCTCATGGGAATCAAATTGAACAGTTAAGCGATTTTTTTAGTCAATCGCACACTCTTAATATCTGTTCATAGTGAAAGAGATGTACAATATCTTCTAGAACGGTGGACGGTAAGGCAATCGCGGAGTACCGCGCGCCCGCCGAGGTGACAGGAGTGGCGAGCGCTCACGGAGGGAAAGCTGTCGCGTTAGGATCACAAGACGGGTGTCTAACTATACTAAATATTGTTGACCCATATGAATAAGCAATACAAGTAACAGAATATAAACGTAGATTACCACTGTTGTAACAATTATGTTTTATTTAATACTAGTTGTTCCCGTGCGGCTTCATCCGCATGTTATTATGGACATTTTATTTTATTGTTTACATTTGTTTAATTATTAATAGCAAATGTCAAAATGGCATAACATTACAAACCTTGGCAATCTTGCTTCCTTGATGTTGGCAGCAACTTATGGTCTCTTTCCCGTATTAGGGTTTTATCCAAAACATTTACCTCCTATATTTAATGGCTTGAAAATATATAGCCTAAAGCGTGACGAAAGTGTAGGGCTTTCATTAAAGAAAGAATTATTCAAAAATATGGTGTAATTGCTGACATCTTAGGCAACAAAGAAGTGTGTGTTTGCGCTATAATATAATAGTATAGACTAGCTGTTGCGATTTCGTCTGCGTGAAATTAAAAAACAATAAAAAAAACGTAGTCTATGTTAATCAGTGATAACGTATCTTTTTAATGGTGAAAGAATTTTTGAAATCGGCCCAGTAGTTTTCGAATTATTTCAAAACATAGAAAAATCCAAAAATGTAAATCTTTCTTATAACATTAGTGTGATAAAGACTAGCTTTCGGCCGTGATTCCGCGTGTAATTAAAAAGCAAAAGTTAAGTTAATGTGTTCTTCCAGACTATGCTCTACATCTAAATTTTCTGGAGATCTATTCAGCAGTTTAGGCTAAAAACTCTAACAAACAACCATCTATCTTACACTTTCTTATTTTTAAAATCAAACAAAATGAATGTAACAAAAATGTTTTACGGTAAGATATTTAAAAAAAATAAGTAATATGCACTTTTAAATTGTTCAGATTTAACGCTTTAGGTGAGATTTCACACTATTTTACCAAGCTGGTTCCTTTTCTATCCTACGTCATCTCTGTAACCGTCTGTTCTCTGCCACTTCCAGCGAAATTCCACTTTTATATTTCAACAGTGGATACCAACATTAACAATGGATAGGAAAGTGTATTTGTTACAAAATAAATCAGTCTGTGATAGAAGTGATTAAGTATGGATTTTTGAGTAGTTTATTTTATTTTAGGAAGCTGATAAATATGTCCAAGATTAAGTAGCAATTAAAAGTACAAATTTATTGTTAAAACTTATAAATGTCTTGATAATAAATAATTTAGTACCATCATTTGTTTTTTTTTTTACTGTTTGCAATTTAAATTTCCCAACTTCAACCTGTTAAGAAGTAAATTTAAGAAAATTATATAAAACGAGCTGTTGCCCGCGACTTCGTCCGCGTGGTATTAGAAAACATACGAACTAAATAACAAAAAGCTACGTATCCCTCGGGAACCGGACATTTCTCTGCGATGAAGCTTATCCCATGCTTACTCCAGACTTTGTTTTATATCTGTGCCAAATTTCAATACGATATGTTGAACCGTTGCAGAATGATCGAGTAAACATTAAAAAACTCAATTAATGAATCCCACGGGAACCGTAACTATTCCCGGGATAAAATGTAGCCTATGTGTTCTTCCAGACTATGCTCTAAACCTGTGCCAGATGGAGATCCGTTCAGCCGTTTAGGCTACAAACGCTAACAAACATCCATCCATCCATCCATCTAAACTTTCGCATTTATAATATTAGTAAGATTGTTGCAATACTAAATTATTGGCATAAACGTCACAGCTGACAGCTGACAATGTCATTAAAAGGATTGATTTGCGCGCCATTCTGGCGGGACCGCTATGTCAGTGTTATACATATCGCTAGTTACAATTATGTTGTATAAAAATACTTATATAACACTAGCTTACGCCCGCGATTCCGTCCGCGTGGAAAAAAGCAAGTTGTCTGTGTTCTTCCTGATTGTCCTAAAGCTACGCCATTTCATCGATATTAAGCGGTTTATGATACAAACTAAGAAATATCCATCCATCTCCATCCATTCATCTATTTTCTTCTTGAATTAGGGGCATAAAGGTGTCAATAAAATAAAAAAAAAACATTAAAAAGTACTTTTTTATTATTAAATATCAAAAAAACAATGTCAATACCAATAATCATAAAAATATAACTAAATATATGAAAAATATATTTAAAAAATCTCATTTAGATAGGTTTTCAATAGAAAACATGTCCAATAAATTGACATCGGGTTTTGAGGTTATCAATAAATAGCGTAAGAAGTGTTAACTACTTCCTATATATTTGATCTTTGAGTCAACACACGAACTATACCATTAATAAAAAAAAATAATACCGCATTTTGCTTTTATTAAAACAAACCATTAAGTCATTTTAATAATGAACCTTATTATAATACATTTAGAACTCATATTCGGATACATATATGTACAGCTTAGCGACAGCTATTCCAGCAAATTGCCCTCTATTGTAGAGATGCATTGATAATTCCAGTTCTATACTCTGTGGTCCGTCTAAAGATTTCACCAAAGTTATTACACCTTGGTTACTACCTCTTTGCAGTAACCTGAAAAATGTATTATTTATTACTAAAAAAAAAATTCAAAGCCGCTGCAGACGCCAAGTTCAGACTTTATGCTGGGTTTCTGAAGTTTTCGCTTATTTATAATCTAGTGATTAATTAGACGTTGACTTAAGTCGACAGAGTAAAACTCAAGTTACATCGCTTTTTGTTAAGATATCGAACCAAAAACACTAACCGATAGTTAAAGTAGGCGGGAAACTATTGATCAGTTAAAACAGCTAATGTCAGTTAAAACTGTGGATATGTAAGCGAAATGGCTACAAAGGAAGAGGAAGACCGTAGAAAGTATGGATGGATTGTGTGAAAGAGGATATGCTTAAGAAAGGAGTGGATTCAGATATGGCTGATAGAGATGTATGGAAGAGCAGCATATTGAGCCGACCCTCCATAAGGGATAAGGGCAAGTGAATGATGATGTAAGCGAAACTTTTATTGTACGGTTCAACTGACAATTACAGGTCAAACATGCAGTTTGTCTATTCAGATAAAATATCACAATTAATTTAAAACCAAAGACTCCTAGTCTATAATAATCACAAAATAAGATAACTAAAGGAAAATATAAAAAAGTAACTGCAGTTTTTGAAATAAGATCAGAAACAACTAATATGTCTTTCTCTTTTCCTCTTTAAGAATAACATATCTTTCTTCTCTCTCATGTAACGAAATCGTGTCCTTGAAACGTTCCGTTCTTAACTTCCCAAAAGGAGGTTATTTTCGTCTGTATTTTAAGTTATTAAAAAAAATAACTTACATAAAGGAATTGATATCAGCGCGTTCTTTAACAGTCGGTGGAGCGTTTACTTCGATCAGTTTGAGTTCAAACCTCATTCTTGCTGTCGGCCAGACGGGACCTTTCATTGAGAATAAATCGACCTGTAAATTAAAAAACATATTTAACTAGCTTTTTCTATAAAAACAAAAGTTAGTATTCTTGATTGTCCTCTACATCGTATAATCATCGAGATACGATCTGCAGTTTAGGCTAACTCTAAAAAAAACAATCTAAACATTCGCATTTATATTCCTCATCATCTCCCCTGCCTTAAGCACTGCATAGCACTCTATCATCCGTCATCTCAGTCATCACTCCCTTCTTGATCATGTCACCTTTCACGCAATCCATCCATCTCTTTCTAGGTCTACCTC